CTACCGTCAGCCACGTTTTCAGGTAATGCAACAGCATATGGCGATTCATCATCTGGTAGCAGGCTTTGCTTCCCTGCAGTCCCCTCACAGTTCCTAGGTCCTCCTGGTACAGTATCAACCCCTTATCCAAGACCTTATGTTGTCAGTCACTCAGATGGCGGCCACAATACTAGTTCTGATAGTAGTAGAAAGTGGGGAAGACAAGGTTTAGATCTAAATGCTGGACCTGTAGTTGCAGACATGGAAGGAAGAGAGGAATCATCATCCTTTGTACCCAGGCAACCATCTGTTGCCAGTTCGCAGGCCACTACCGAGGAGCATATGCGGGTTTACCAGCCAACAATTGGCATAATGAAGAGAAAGGAACCAGAGGGAGGATGGGATGGGTACAAACAGTCGTCATGGTAGTATAACATCCTGTGGAGTCCTGAAAGCTGGTGAGTTCTTGTTTATATCTTATCACTCATGAATATAGGCTTCAACCCCCACCCCAGCTGAAAGACGGAGGATGGGTACATCATGTTGGCATGTTTTGCTATTTTAACATGGATATATTTGTATTCAACGGTTTCTTTTCTAATGTTAAAAATGTTAATTATATGTTTTTCAGTGCTGTGAGGATTGGCATTGAGCTGACTTCCCCTGGCTGTCATCTAACTTTGTGTGCTTTTCGGAGGAGGTGGTGAGTAGTATCTCATGTTCTTCATGGTCTCAAACCCCACACCTTTTCTCTGTATCAGTTGTAACTTAAAAAAAGAATGTCTGGGGCCTTCAAGCTTCTTGTCACTTGAATTTGTTCTGGGTGGCTGCAGATAATTTCTTCTTTGTAGATATTTAACTGTGGAAAGCATGCACTATCGGTTCCCCAGACACTTGATAGTTGGTGCCGATACAGGTGTTCAGTGCATCGATTTAATATACTGTTGAACTCAAAACCTTTCCATCCTTTTTGCACCCATTTCACCAATATGAACCGGTGAATTGGCTTTTTGAGCATATTTATAATTTCGTTTTTTCCCTTCAGGATCAAAGCAAGAGGGTGCATCTGATTCTGACGCATGCATTTCAGTTCATTTAACTTGCCTCCCCTCTCTCTCTCTCTCTCTCTCTCTCTCTCTCTCTCTCTCTCTCTCTCTCTCTCTCATTTCTACATTCTGTCTTGCAAAATAATCAGTGTTCCTCATTTTTCATGCTGGAATCACTCTTTTAATTTTACATGGAGTTTCTGTAGTTATAGTATTGTTGCATGTTGACAGGTTTTGAGCAGCAGCAGGTTTATAAGGGAGTGAGTGAGTAGCCTACTTGACTTACTATTTATTTAGGAGTGTACTAAATGCCAAACGGAGAGAGAAACCATGAGGTTCACGCCATTATATCCTTCCCCAAAATAATTGTATACAAAGGAGCAACTAAAAGAACGATAAAGACAATTACAGCTACTGATATTACAAGCCAATTTTCTCCTAGCTTTGCTTCACTTTCCCCAAACAACCCTCTGTTGTTTTGCTATATAATAGCTGCTCTCAACTTTGCCTTGTAGGGTTCCTTCCACAAAATACATTTCTGCGTCCAAAAAACCCAAGCATAACTCGAACAGCCATATAAATGTACGTTAATAACTTGAGGGATTGATAAGAGATAAGAGATAAGAGAACTCACAGCAGACACCCACGCTGTGGCCTTTTCTTTTCTTTCTGTTTCTGTGGTGGCTTGATAACCATCCTTATTGCTGCATCGAACACTGCTTTCACATTCTGCAATACCAATTAAACAATCCAAGTCGAACCACATGAACACTAATCCTAAGTTCTATGCTAATTATAATAGCTTACGAATTTGCAACATGTAAGGTAAAGAATGTTGTGAACTGATTACCTGCTGTGTTTTTGAGCTGCATTCAATGTAATATGTGGCACCAATCTGTTTACGGAGTTCCTCGCCCTGATTTAATCGAACCATCAATATTAAGACTTAAAATTCAGCATAACCATGAGGTAAAAGCAAGCAGTGTAGTTTCCTACTCTCCCCTCCCAGCATATCGAACTAGAAAAACAATCACCTGCGAAGTGGTTACGGGCACCAATCCGGGATGATCAGCCAAATAGAATTTGTCCTCTCGAAGATCTAAGCAACGAGAACGATCGCGAGTTAATCCAAGATTGTTGCATTTAATTGATAGCATGTACGGTATAGGAACACAATAAATCATTTGCATCAATAAGTTGAAGAGTCAAAGAGTGAGCTTTGTGAACAGAAAATGAGTTTGGTGTCAAAAGGTATTAAACAATCAGCTAAAACAGAGCCAATGGAGCATAATAGAGTATCTACCAAGAACCCAACTACCTCTCCTCTTTAAATGGCCGTGCTTAGCTGCACTTGCACCTGCACCTGCACCTGCACCTGCACCTGCGCCTACTATCTGAATTATTATTTGGCCCCCTCCAAACATTTTAACTCGTCTGCAAGTACATAGGCTGGTCCTCCTCTCAATAATTCGACCATTGAAAGCATCACCTCTTTATAAATATCTACCCCATCCCACGAACAAACAACATCCTAACACTAGGTCGAAGTGACGACAACGTTCTTCTCTGATTAAGTATCATTCCATTCGGAGGTCTGAACCGGGACCCTGGTCTAAACTCTAAACTCTAAACTCGCATCCAAAACCACAAGGGCCCGCCCTTCGGAAGCATTCTAAACAAAGACAAGGGGGGTTCTTGTCAAAGACTTTCCTGTTTGCAAGCATTCCTACTTTAGTCAACCTCTTCTCAACTCCTACCTCCTTTTCAACAAATAAAGGAGATAATATTTGCTTTGGTTATATCTAAATCTACTTCATTTCAACTACTTAGACTAAACAAAGGAAGTTTGAAACAAATGCACTAATATCAGAAAGAAGATGGCCTACCCAATTTGGTGCCAACCAACACCACCGGGACTCCAGGTGCATAATGTTGAAGCTCCGGAATCCACTAACCATGAGACATTCCAAGTTACAAACGTAAAGATGATAGAGCTTAGGAAAAGAAAAGGCTTAGATTTAGTCACCTTCTTAAGTACATTTTCGTAGCTCGCCCGGCTAACCAACGATAAGGCGAGGATGAAAACATCAGCTCCTCTGTAGCTCAATGGCCTTAACCTATTGTAATCTTCTTGACCTGTATGGCATTACAACCAAAGCCAGGTTTTAGAGTCTAAAATTCAAGGCTTCAATTAAAGCAAGCAACAAAGAGGGTGTACCGGCTGTATCCCAGAGGCCTAAATTGACTGTGGTGCCTTCAACCACCACATTGGCACTGAAGTTATCAAACACCGTGGGTATGTAATCCTGATAACACACAATTGATTATGTTTTCTGTTGGAAAAAACACAGGCAATTATGATCATAACACCAAGGCAGGAGAGGAAGCAAGAACCATTTTGAATTAGAATACAAGAAAGTAAAAGAAAGCCTCAAGAAGAAGAACTGCAGGGGAATTGGAATTGGAGCACAAAGTTGATTAGCAGTACAAGATTAGAAGATGAAACTACAGAACAAAAAGAACCCAGAAAGGAGACGAATGTTTTGATTAAAAGAACAGAACATACAGTGGGGAATTTGTTATTGGTATAGCATATGAGCATGCAGGTCTTCCCCACAGCCCCATCTCCGACGGTGACGCACTTGATGAACCTTGAAGCACTGGAAGCCATTGAATAAACCAAAACCCAGATGGGAACAACAAATTCGAGAGAGAGAGAGAGAGATAAAGAAGAAGAGGAAAGGAAAAAAGGGTCGCAACAGAGAGAGAGAGAGAGAGAGCGGTAAATCACATGAATCTCACTTATTCACTCTCCCCTTCCTTCCCCGTTGTTTTCATCAACAACAGATGCCCTTTTGGGTTTCATTACCCAATCAAAAGGTTTCTAGTTCCAACAAACAAACCCCATTATGCTTCTTCCACCTATCAGATAAGTTCAAATCTTGAAGGGTTTTTAGGTTTATAATTTCTTTTTTTTTTTTTTTTAAATTGTTTTACATCTCTTCATATATATATACACATATATAAGTAGGGATGTGAGCGATTTTGTATTATTGGTATTAAATTAATTTGAAGGCTAAAAAGGTGAGTCTACGAACAACTAATTTTCAAAATTATTGGGAACTTTCGGTTGAAGAAATAAGTAAAGATTAAGTAAACATAATAACTATGCCTCACCAGAATTAAAAGGAAAAAAACAATAATTTTTTTTAATAAAAAAAAGGAATAATCATGCAAATGTGGCCCTTTGGATGAGTTGTGTTGCCAAAGTTTTGATTTTTGTTTTCATTTAAAATTATACCTGGTCTGGGCTCCGCGGGAGAATTTTGGGCCAACTTCAAAACCCTAAATTGGTTGTGGAATATGGATCAATCAGATTCAGGCCCTTGGACTTGGAGGATTTCTTCAATGATCAGCAGTGTTCATCCATGGATTTCAACCATTTCTGATCCTCATTAATCCACTTCCCAAGTAGTCACGTTCCGCCGCCGCCGTGCTGGAGCCCATCCTCCGCTATTCTTCTTCGGCGGCCGGCGGTCGATGATTGCGTGTTTCGAAGTTGATCTGGCCGGAGAGCTGCCGATTCAAATAATCTCTTGCATTGGTTCAATGTAAAAGATCGACCTTCCTCTAAATATTAGAGACAAAATTTTGGACTAAAGTTGGGCTTGAAATGATGGGCTTGAAATGTAAAATTGAAAAAGCAAATACTTTAATTCAAAATTTGGGAATAGTGCTTATGCGTTGCGTAAATCATGGGCATCTTCCTTTATTCCATGGCATCATGGCTAACACATAATGTTGCCATAATGGGTAGAGATGGATGGAGGTTATGGTCGACAGTGAAGCCTTGGACGGCCATGCCAAAACCTGGATAGGCGGAAGCAAAAGGCAAGCCCCCACTTTCCAACTCCCAGAAAACCGATGGGGTCCGAAATGGCAATGGTTTTGTTATGTTATGACAGAGAAATTGAGGCCATAACCCCACAAAGCAGAGCAACCTTTACCTTGCCTTGCCACGTAGTTGCCTCCTTTTTCCAACATCTGCACCGTCTCGATTCCTCCTCCCCCAATTTCATTCTCTTCTCTATAAATCACCCCTTTCCCCCCTTCCTCATTTCCGGTCGGTTCACGGGACTCTCCGTTACCCACTTCAATTCAAGCATCGTCCTGTGAAACGGGCTTCCTTCTCTGCTTCTTCTAAGGTACGTTCATACCAATTTTTCACAGATCTTCACATTTCTTGCTCTTGAATCTTCTTCTTCTTCTTGCGTTGCTTAACTTATGAGGGGTTCCTGTTTTAAATGAGATCCTGCAAATTGGGTCTGTTAGTGGAGGATACGATCTAGCATTCTAGTTGCCCTTTGTCGTTGTGATTAGCATTCATACCCACCAGCCATTTCCTTGTCTGATCATATGCTGATCACCCACCAGGCCTTTTATATTTCATTTTATTAGCTCTCGGATTGATGTTTGCGCATGAACATTAGAAGCAGGCTTGTTTTGGATTGGAGATGCATCATTTTGAATGATATCAGATCCTTTTCTGCCATTTGTTGAAACTGGTTACTTACTTCCACTATGTCTCGAGATTTTCATGTGTAAACTTCCTAGCACATGGATGCCCTGTACTATTTATTGTTCATGAGGCAACCAAATCCATATGAACAAACACCTGCAAATCTTGGATACTTTCATTTGCTGTTCCTTTTGTTTCGAAGCATGTAGAAATATATAGAAATATGACTATCTGTATCAACTTTCCAGATCATAACGTTGCTGATACTTTGTCAAAAAGTTTTTAAATCTCTTTTTAATATAAAATCAGGCAAGTAGAACCTCGAGGTTTGTCTGTATTTGTGTATGGGATTGATTCACTGCTTGGGTTAGGCGAAAGCTCGGCCATAGCGGTTGAGGATTATTGGGAGTGAGTCCCACGTTGATTAATTTAGTTGAAGATCATGGGTTTATAAGTGAGGAATACTATCTCCATTAGTACGAGGCCTTCTGGGAAGCCCAAAACAAAGTCATCAGAGCTTATACTCAAAGTGGAATATCATACCATTGTGGAGAGTCGTGATTCCTAACAATAGCTGCCCCGAGTCTTTTTCACTGTGTACTCTAGTAGTAACTTCTAATGTTCAAGCATATGGTTTTGTGGCAGATTTTGGAAGTGCAGCTCGCTCGTTCACGATGTCATCTCCAAGTAAAAGGAGAGAAATGGATGTCATGAAATTGTAAGATAGATACCCTTGTTATTTATCAACATTTCCTATTCCTATTTGAGTCATTCGTTATCGTGGTTGTTCTATATGGTCTTTGTGGATGACTGTTTATGAGCCTTTCGACAACCAAGGAGACGCTATGTTGAATATGAAAATGATTTACTTACTAGTACTGCAATAGGTTAGAGGAAAGTAACACGTGTTAACGATGCTCACGAAGTTCTTCTATTCCACGTTTTACCTGCAAAAAGAATATCAAAGTTTTGTAGACACAATCATCTGAAGCTAGTTAAGTTCCATGGTGTGTGTTTATAGTCCTTGAACATAGTGATGATTGCAGCGAGCTGTAACCAAGAGTGACCATGGCAGCAAAAGTAGTGCTTGTCGTGTTGTTGCTATGTTAACTAGAAAACATATTGATCATGCTCGCCTAGAACTGCCCAGCATTGTGGTGATTTCAGGCTTAAATTTGAGTATTGCTCACTGTTATGGCTGTAGACCATTAGAATAATGGCCATGCTTGAAGGTGCGCTATCTCTTACGTTACGTTGGCTTGTGTTGTCCAGGATGATGAGTGACTACAATGTGGAGATGATAAATGATGGACTAAATGAATTCAATGTGGACTTCCATGGTCCCAAACAAAGTATTGCTCGACTTTCACCTCTGTCCAATATGATGCATTTCGTAGTCGTTCTTGTTTGGCAGTCTAAACCGAATTTGTTTATGTTATTTGGAGTCTCCTGAAAATTTATCCTTGAAATGAGGTGTTTTTCCACTGCTTTCGTGTGTAATTCATGGACACTGTTTCACTTAAGAGGTGCAGCCTGTTCCTAAAGAGTATTAATCCATGAAGTAATGTTTCACATAAGAGGTGCAGCCTGTTCCTAAAGAGTATTAATCCATGAAGTAATGTTTCACTTAAGAGGTGCAGCCTGTTCCTAAAGAGTATTAATCCATGAAGTAAGTTAAGTATCCTTGATTGATCCTTGCAGGCTTATACGAAACTGGCGTTTGGAAAATTCGGGTCGAGCTTCCTGATGCATATCCATATAAGTCTCCTTCGATCGGTTTCGTGAACAAGATATTCCACCCAAATGTTGATGAACTGTAAGGAACTGTATTTTCCTTACTAAACAAACCATCAAATGGTATCTTACCCAAGTATTTAACCTGCAGATCTGGTTCTGTGTGCTTGGATGTGATTAACCAGTCTTGGAGTCCGATGTTCGGTAACTACCCATCGCCCCCATCCTCGCTAAACCTCAGTATTTTGTGCTTATCTGTTCTGTACTGAGACTCATGGTTGTGTTGATTCTTACCTCAGATCTTTTAAACGTTTTCGAGGTTTTTCTTCCTCAGCTTCTCCTTTATCCGAATCCTTCGGACCCGCTTAACGGCGACGCAGCATCGCTTATGATGAAGGATCGGAAACAGTATGATGAGAAAGTTAAAGGTAAATCTTTCTCACTGTGTGAACAAAACTTAGATAAATGATAACTCAATATCAATATCAACGTCCATGTGGGTACAGAGTACTGTGAACGATTTGCGAAGAAGGAGAATGACATTAAATGCACATCAGAAGACGAGAGTGAAGAGGATGAAATGAGCGATAACGAAAGTGGTTCAAGCGACGACGACAACGTTGCTGGACATGCCGATCCCTAACGGGAAGGGAAGGAAAGATAAGGCTAGGCATTATATCATATCAATGATTTCTTCTTCTCCATTTAGCAGCAGCAACTGAATTTCGATGTTCGGGTTTCTATGTTTCGACTGGTTTGTATGATTATAGTATTGAAAATGGCGAACGTAAGTGTTAGATTATTCGTAGATTTTCATTCAAATGTACGAGCAGACAGTCCAGTAGGGGACATAAAGATTAAAGCAGCAACCTTACAATACTTTTATCAGTTAATCAAATAGACTACATCAAACAGAATTGTTTCTCTCTGCCTCCCTACTTGCATAGATATATACACATATATATACATACACATATATATACATACATATATATATATATATATAATTGTTTGGTGTCTGAATTTTTTGAAAGTTAAAAAATTGACCAAAATTTGAAGGGTAAATTTGTAATTTAACTTGTTACAATAAAAACTAATGTGAAAAAGAAAAAACAAAAAGGGAGGGAAGAAAGGAACGCTGGGCGCATTGACGGACACTCACCCGAGTCCCGGCGTTTCTTCCTCCCAAGCATCACTTCACCAAACCTGCCTCGCCACTAAATTTGTTGAAGGGCTGTCGGCGCGACCATCTTCCGGCAATGGGTCAGCCGGAGAGATCCACCTTAAGGGTCTCAAACGTTCCCGAATCCGCCGTAGCCGAAGACCTCTTGACCTTTCTCAAGTCCAAATTGGGTCCCGACTCCGTCTTCGCCATCGAAATCTTCACCGAGCGAAAGAACTGGAAATCGCGCGGCTCTGGTCGCGTACAGTTCACCACGCTCGAGGCCAAATCCAAAGCCCAGTCCCTCTCCGTTCAAAACAACCTCGTCTTCAGCACCCACAACCTGAGATTCTCCGAGACCAACGATGACATTATTGTGAGGCCAATACACGGCAGAAACAGGACCGAGAACGGGGTTTTGCATGTGGGTTTTATGCTGAAAGAGGATCACATGAGTGTTTTGGAGTCTTGGGAAGGTGTAAAAGCTTGGATTATGCCGGAGAGGAGGAGGGTGGAGTTCTGGATATGGCGCGAAGACGAGTGCTATAAGCTTGAAGTGATGTTCGAGGAAATTCTCGAAACTACTGGATATTGTTTAGGAGATGAGAAATTGAACGCACTTCTCCTGAAGGTAAATTCCCACAATGGCCATGGCGATGATTTGATTTGTATGCACCTCTTTCACTAAATCTTACGATGAATCAAATTCTTGCTTGTTCTTGCAGCTCAAATATGCGCCGAGAATATATAAAAAGATTTCTGGATCAAACATGGCTTACAAATTCAGCAGCAGTCGCTACCGTCTATGCAAAGAAGAACATGATTATCTTTGGATTCGGACAACAGAGTTTTCTTCTCTGAGATCAATAGGTCAGTCCACTTCCTTTTGTTGGGAAGTTGAAGAAGATTTGCAGGCTTCAGATATGTTTTCTAGTTTCCCACTTTACAGGGAAACTCCAAAAGATATTACATTAGAGGATGGTGGAGAATTTGGCTCTACCTCGGAGGCTGTTCCTCTGATAAAATCTGGGTTAGTTTCTAATCTAGCTTATGAGGTTCAATATCAGCTCAATTCCTTAGTTCATATGCAGAAAATTAGCCTTGCTGCAGCCAGCAATGATCTGATTGATTTCCTTAGCACTTTAGGTACTGACACTGCGTTGAATATACTTCAGAGGTTACATCAGCTGAAGTTCATATGTTATGATCCCTTGTCGTTCCTAAAGACCCAATTACATGTTCTGAAAAGGAACTGCAAAGTTCTTCCTTCATTGTCTCAAAAGAGGTTGTCGAATAATGTGATGAACTGCTACAGAGTTCTTGTCACCCCATCAAGAATTTATTGTTTGGGACCTGAGCTTGAAACTTCTAATTATGTTGTGAAAAACTTTGCATCATATGCTTCTGATTTTATGAGGGTTACTTTTGTTGAAGAGGACTGGAGTAAGCTTCCTGCAGGTGCCGTTACCACGAGTATACAGCGTGGCCTACTCTCGAAACCTTATAGAACTGAAATCTATCACCGAATAGTTAGTATTCTTCGAAATGGAATTGTTATTGGAGCCAAAAGGTTTGAGTTCTTGGCCTTCTCAGCTAGTCAACTCCGATCGAACTCTGTTTGGATGTTTGCTTCGAGCAACAACTTGAAAGCAGAAGAAATTAGACAGTGGATGGGCTGCTTTGAAAAGATTCGTAGCATCTCCAAATGTGCAGCTAGGATGGGTCAATTGTTCAGTTCTTCCACTCAAACTCTTGTTGTTCCTACTCAAGATGTTGAGATTATACCCGATATCGAAGTGAATTCTGATGGTATTGACTACTGCTTCTCAGATGGTATCGGAAAAATTTCGCTTTCATTTGCAAGGCAAGTAGCTGATAAGTGTGGATTGACTCACATCCCTTCGGCATTTCAAATTCGATATGGTGGATACAAAGGTGTCATTGCTGTCGATCGTAATTCCTTTCGTAAACTATCTTTGCGTGATAGCATGCTTAAATTCGAATCGAAGAACAAGATGCTCAATGTTACCAAGTGCAGCGACTCCATGCCTTGCTATCTAAATCGAGAGATCGTTACTCTTTTGTCAACTTTGGGAGTGAAGGACGAAAGCTTCGAGGCACTGCAGCAAGAACAACTACATCTTCTAAGGAGAATGCTGACGGATAAAGTCGCTGCGTTGAACGTCTTGGAAAATCTGAACGGTGCTGATTCTAATAACATTCTGGTGCAGATGTTAAACCACGGGTACGAGCCTAATATTGAACCGTACCTCTCAATGATGCTTCAAGCACACTATTGGAACCTGTTTTCTGATTTAAGAAGTAGATGTAGAATATTTGTTCCAAAGGGCCGGATCCTCCTAGGCTGCTTGGATGAAACTGGTATATTAAACTATGGCCAAGTTTATGCCTGCATAACCTTGACAAAATCCGAGCTTCGGGACAGGAACCAGAACTACTTCCATAAGATAGACGAGACGAAATCCATATTGCTCGGGAAGGTTGTTGTTACAAAAAATCCATGTCTTCATCCAGGAGATGTAAGGGTTCTTGAAGCTATTTTCCATGTAGAACTAGAGGAGAAGGGATTGGTGGACTGTCTTATATTTCCTCAGAAAGGAGAAAGGTACACTTTTTTTGTAGGCTTCATAAACATAGCTAAAATTTATTCAATACTCTGCCACTGTTGAGTCTTTTTTGCAGGCCACATACAAATGAATGTTCTGGTGGTGATCTTGATGGAGATTTATATTTCATAAGTTGGGACGAGAATCTGATTCCGCCCAAAACCGAAGCGCCGATGGACTATACGGGACGGAGGCCACGTATAATGGATCACGATGTAACACTAGAGGTATATGAAACAATCAAATATACATATTATGCCATTTGAAATTCAGAGCAGAAATTTATCCTCCGGTTTGTTGAATCATTGAAATTTACAGGAAATTCAGAAGTTTTTTGTTGATTATATGATCAATGACACATTAGGTGCCATTTCGACTGCACATTTAGTTCATGCAGACCGTGAACCGAAAAAAGCCCTAAGCTCGAAATGTTTAGAGCTGGCTGCGCTGCACTCCATGGCAGTCGATTATGCAAAAACCGGAGCGCCAGCGGAGATGCCTCGAGTTTTAAAACCTAGGGAGTTTCCAGATTTTATGGAGAGATTTGATAAACCAATGTACAAATCCAATAATGTACTAGGAAAACTCTACAGGGCTGCGGTTAAGACGATGGAGCAAGAAAGGTCAAGACTTGTGTGGACAGAGGAGACTGCTACAGCAATTTATGATCATGATCTTGAAGTGGATGGCTTCGAAGCCTTCCTTGAAACAGCTGAAAGTTTCAAAGTCATGTACATTGAAAAAATGAGCATTTTGATGAACTACTACGGGGCAGAGTATGAAGATGAGATATTGATGGGCGATCTTAGAAGTCGAGCATCGTATCTGCAACGTGACAATCGCAAGTACGGCGATATGAAGGATCGGATCTTGCTTTCAGTTAAGTGTGTACGTAAGGAGGCCAAAGAATGGTTCGAGAATAGCTGCGCCCCACATGAACACAAGATGATGGCTTCTGCATGGTATCATGTAACTTATCACCCTTCTTACTTCAAACAAGATATGTTCTACTTTAGCTTCCCATGGATTGTACATGATGTTTTACTCAACATTAAGGCAATGAACTCCAAAAGACGTGAAGCAGAAAAGAACTTGTAGCTCTACCTGTTTGTAACCCAAACATGTCATTAAGCTTCTATCTTTCTATCTTTCTGAATCTAACAGCAATAACAATTTCCTTTGTCGTTTTGTTTCCTTTGACCTCCCACGTTGACTAATTAAGGAGTTAATCATAGGTTTATAAATTCATCTCATCTATTCGTACGAGATCTTTTAGAAAAATCAAAATCAAAATCATGAGAGTTTATGCTCAAAGTGGACAATATCATACTATTGTGGAAGGTTGAGGTTCCTAACATGGTATCAAAGTCTGTAACTTAGTTATATCAATAGAATCCTCGAATGTCGAACAAATGGTATACTACTTTATTCGATAACTCTAAAGAAGGGTCATGCCACACCTTAAATCTGAGTATTGTGCCTTCCACAAAAACCCAATCTCATTGAAAAGGAGGGGAAGAAAGTGTCAAACATAGCCCACTATTCAATCCATACAACGACAATACATATACAAACATTATACGGCTTTTTATTACACCCACTTCAGACAAGCAAGTCCCCAAATCAATATTATTATATACTATGAGGACATAATTTAATATAAAAGAACATATATTTTTTTTTTTTGGAAAAAGAAAAAACCCCTCTAATTGTATTGTACACTGATCCCATTAAAGGAAACCCCAAAATTAATTGAAACGTATTTACTTTTGAGAGTAAAAAAAGAAGAAGAAATCTACTGGGGGAGGTGGTGGTGGGCCGACGATGTCACATGTCACCTAGCTCAACGTTGGATAATAACAGCACTAAACACGGCGTATTTTAGTAGAATCAACGCACCTTTACGCGACGGTAGATATATCCTTCCCAGTTGTTCCTCCGGTCTTCAACGGCGCCGGTATTGAAGCGTAACGAGCAGAGAAGTTCCGATACCCATTGAAGTCGTCATTATCGTCGTCTAATTCCCCAATCTGCCTCGAACCTTCATCAAAATTCATAGCGTAACTCAACGGATCGTATTGAAATTTCCCAGGCCTACCAGCACCAGCACCACCGTTCCGATTCCGGT